AGTAGTAGTAGTAGTATAGTAGTATAAGTGTTGTAGTAGTTAGTTAGTAGTAGGTAGTAGTAGTAGTAGTAGTAGTAGTAGTAGTAGTAGTAATAGTAGTAGTAGTAGTAGTCGTAGTAGTAGTAGTAGTAGTAGTAGTAGTAGTAGTAGTAGTAGTAGTAGTAGCAGGAGGAGGACGAGGAAGAGTCCTGCAGCCCTGAGAGGTTCCAGGGTTCGAAAGCTCTGTAAGGTCCCGGATCCCCGGATTCCCAGGCGCCGCCGGGCCCTATTGGGCGTTACCGGGGTGTGTCGCGTGGGCCTCTGGGGCGGTGACTCCGCCCAACAGGTAAGTTCCTACAGGCGTTGCTATTCTCCAAAGAAGGTGCAAGCTATCAGATGCTGGATACGAAAAGGTTGGATCACACAATTTAGCGACATGTCCAACGAGAACGCTGCTTTGAAGGGAAGCCGTCCCCAATCCGTGCAGCTGTTGCGCAAGTAATATTTCGGATCATCAAGCTTGGGGAAGTGTTAAACGAAAACGCATTGTTTGAAAGGAACCGCCCTCTGCCCATTTAGCTGTCACATATTTTCGAATTTCTGGCCTGTCAATGTAAGGAGGTCTTATGCGAAACTCCATGTTGAAAATGAGCCATCCACATCTAAAAAAACGGGTGCAAGCTTTGAAACAGCATCTGCGCGGCTCTGAGGCCCACAAGCTTTCAAGACGAAGGTGCGCGGCGGTAGAACGAGATCCCAATTTTGAAAACGAACGCGCCTCCATTCTTGTAGTTCTTGAAAACCTTGAGACGCATTTGCGCGCCGAGCGTCCCATTTTGAAAACGACTGGCCCTGCCTCCTTGTAACAAGCTCGAGCCAAATTTTGAAACGAATGATCATGGCGTTGAGAAGCTGCCGGCCCTCCCTCCGCGTGACGGCTGGCAATTTCAAGCTTCGGGGCAACACCTTGCAAGGAGGTCCCAAGCGAAACGCCTGCTGACACGTCTGGCGGTGGTGCGGCGGAGGAGGAGGAGGAGGAGGAGGGGGGGGAAGAGGACAAGGATGCGGGAGAGGATGATGGTGATGATGCTGATGCTGATGCTGATGCTGATGCTGATGATGATGATGATGATGAGGAGGAGGAGGAGGAGGAGGAACGTGGGGGTGAACGGGGAAGGGAATCTGTAAGCGGAGGAGGAGGAGGAGGAGGGGGAGGAGGAGGAGGAGGAGGAGGAGGAGGAGGAGGAGGAGGAGGAGGAGGAGGAGGTCCCTGGGGAACCAAGAAAAATACCAGACGCCCAAACACCTGGATCATCCTCCTCTACCCACTCCTCCTTCTCCTCCTCCTACGCCTCCCCCGCTGCTCGATCCTGGCGATTCTCCAGGAAGGTGGGGAGCAACAATAGGAGGAAGAGGGAGCGTCTCTGTGCACCCCCCCTTTGCGGAGTCGCCTGGGGTCCTCCTTCTCGGCGCTGAGCTCGGACCCTGCGTGCCGCGCAGAGGCCCATGCGGGGATTAGGGGCGCGGCTGTGGCTCGGCGACGCGCATGAGGATATGTCGGGCGATTATTTAACGTTTCTGTCCGTTTTCAAAACGACGAGGGCAGGACGAGGGGGATTTCTGAGAACTCGCGGGTCTGGAGGACATCTCGGGCGCCGTGGTCGGCAGCAGAATGCGCTGGAACGCTCTGAGGGCGTTTCGGACTAGAAACACGTGTGCGCATAGGTTCTAGCCCAGGCAAAGCCAACGTCATCTCAATAAGCGGAAGGGCACGCACACCATCCCACCAATCACTATCACCACACTGGAACGCCTGCGCAGGCGTGGGTATACATATCTCAATAGCGCCCCTCCGCCTCTTTCGGCACATCTTTTACACGGATCGTGCCCGTCCAGCCCAAGCGAAACCAACGTCGTACCAATCAACGAATGGGCACGCACATCATTCCACCACGATCATCACATGAGAGCACCTGGACAACCGTGGGTATACGTCGAAGAGGTCAATAGCGTGCCCCCGCCT